CGCCGCCGCCATCGCCCAGCCAAGAGCTGTGTTTTTATGTTGACAAAACCAGACCTGGGCACTGCTCTTCGGCTTCTGTCTCAGACTATTCAGCTGAGTCCTTGTTCCAACAGAGGGGGTGAGGCAAAACAATCTTTCTAAAATAAACAACCCAGCCTCAAGTATCTTGTTATAGTAACAACAATAACAAAAAGACCGCCAAAGATGGGCCTCTGCTGCTCCTTGCCTGGACTTGGTTGTGTCGGGGTGGAGTTGGCCGTTCTGTTTCTGGATCAGGTCACTCCCCTTTGCGTTGCTGTCTTTGATCACCTCAGGTTCAAACTCCTCAGCTCAGGGGTCTGGGACCCCCCAGGAGCTGAGTCCACTTTTCCTGTCTTTCAGTTTGTCTCTGGCCTTATTAGTTCAGCTAGGTCAAAGTCCTCTGATTTCCCACTTCCTAAGAGTCAACCCTGGCTACACTTTTTCTCTGGTGCCTTCCCCAACTTCCTGAGCCTTTCTTTTGCAGCCTCCCATCTCTCTAGTCAAGCCAGCCCAGGATTTGCATTTGTTCCAGGATCCCTGTTAACCCTTTCAGGACACAGTGCACCAATCAAGGTGCTTCCTAGGGACTCCTCTGACTTGAACTCTGTAGGGATGTTCAAAGATCTTTTATCCCCGCCCCCCCACCCCCAGCTCCTCTGTTCTGAAGTGTTCTGACATACACTTGGAGGTGAAGGGTCAAAGTGGAGCTGAGGCTGTGTGGGTGCTGAAGATCTCACCTCTGTGGTTACGTTCTCTTTGGTCGTTGGGTGACATTGGCCACTGGACTTCTCTGAAATTCAGTTTCTCTATCTCGACATTGGACAGCTCCAGAGCACTGACTGTCCTTGACACACGGGACCATGACTTAAGCTGTTTTCAGGAGGCTGAAGCAGGAGAATCCCAGAAAGAACACTACTTCTGCATTCAGAAACCTGTGATGAGTACTGGTTCTTCAGCTCACTTTCTCCTTTACATTCAGTCCATGGTTTAAAGAAGGGAAAAAAGTGTTTCCTGTTTTCCACCAGTAAGATTCTCTAGACGATTGGGCACATGCCAGGAACCCTACAGAGGTAAGTGTCTTTTTAAAATTTAAATCACGTTTGTTTATTTATGTGTGTGTGTGCACACAGGTGTCATGTGGCAGTCAGAGGACAACTTAATGGGATGGTTCTCTCCTTTCACTGTGTGCATCCTGGGGATCAAACTCAGGTCATTAAGCTTGGTGGCAAGTGCCTTTAGCTGCTGGGGTAGCTCAATGGCCCTCACTTTTTTCCCTTCTTTAAACCATGGACTGAATGTAAAGGAGAAAGTGAGCTGAAGCACCGGTACTCATCACAGGTTTCTGAATGCAGAAGTAGTGTTCTTTCTGGGATCCTCCTGCCTCAGCCTCCTGAGTGCTGGGATTACAGTTCATGCTACTACACCCTACATGCTCCTTCACTTATGGTTTTATAAAAAGATTTGTTTTTACTGTTTTCAACTCTATGTGTGTGTGTGTGTGTGTGTGTGTGTGTGTGTGTGTGTGTGTGTGTGCAAGTGTACCCTCTGCACCCTCTGAGACCAGATGAGGGTGTCAGATCCCTTGGAGCTCAGTTGTGAGATGTTGGGGGACAGAATTCAGGTCTTCTGAACTAGCAACAAATGCTCTTAACTACAGAGCAATCTCTCTAGGTCCTCTCCACTTTAAAATTAAAAAAAATTATTTTATAAGTGTTTTGATTATATCTTTGTGCATTGTCATTCATATCTGATACTTGAAGAAGCCAGAAGAGGGCATCTGATCACCTGGAACTGGAGTTACAGATAGTTATGAGCCACCATGTAGGTGCTGGGAATTGAACTGGGTCCTCCGGAAGAGCATCCAGTATTCTTAACCACTGAGCCTTCTCTCCAGCCCCTCTCCTTCACTTTTTTAATGTCTCAGACTCCCCTCTGTCTCCGAAGGTGGTAGTTTCATGTCTATCACAGCTTTACTATTCTTACCCAAGGCCCCATAGATAGTGGTGACAGACTCATACACGTGGAGTGAGACTTGTGAAAACTGAACTTCCTTCAAACTGAAGAGTGAACCCTTTCCCATGACCTCTCTGTTTCAGACTCCAGAAGTTCTACCCAAATTTCTCTGAAAACCTTGTCTGATTTCTTTAGTGCCCTGGCCTCTTTCCCCATCTCTAGAACGAAGGAACTGGACTTGAACAGGTGTCAGCAAATGTGATCTAAAGGGCCAGAGAGTAAATGCTTTGGGGCTCAGGAAAGAATGATAGTCTCAGCTGTGAAGCTTCCACTCTACTGTAGTAGCATGAAAGAATCATAGTTGCTACAAGGGCACAGTTATATGTTATTAAAATTTTATTTGCAAAAAATCCCCAAGAGCCTGACTTGGGGACTACAATGCACATATCCCTGGTTTGGAAGGTTCATCACTTACACAGCTTAGCTCTCTTAAAGACCTGTTCTGGTTAGCCTGAATTGCACACTTAAAGTAGCTTAGAGTCTTATGAGAGAAAAAGCCTCCACTGAGGAATTGCCTAGCACAGACTGTCCTATGGGTATGTCTGTGGGAGATTGTCTTTGATTGTTGATTGATGTAAGAGGTCTATTCCTACCGTGGGCAGCACTATTCCCTAGGCAGGTGGTCCTGGGCTGTATAGGACAGCTAGCTGAGCATGAGCTCAAGAATGAGCCATCAAGATGTGTCTTTCCATGGTTCTTGCTGTCCTTCTGGGCTGTGATCGAGTTCCCTGGTTAGAGGTAATGCTACCTGAAATAATAGCAAGCAGGCCTGCCCTCAGGTTCCTTCCCTGACTTCCCTCAATGATGAACTGGAAGCATAAGCTGAAATAAACCCTTTCCTCCCCAAGGTGCTTTTGGTCAAAGTGTTTAATCACAACGGAAGGAACTGAGCAGGAGCCTTATTTGTATTTCTTAGTCTTGAGGGCAAAAAAACCTCCTCTAGTATGATATGTGGGGAGAAAGAGACAGACAACCACGGAAAAGTTACAGGAGCTGTGGCACACTAACAGGCTACCAGCAGTGCTGGGTTTGCTGAGTCAGGTACTGCCTTAGTTACTTTCCTGTGGCTGGGTTACAATACCACGGCCAAAGGAACTCACATAGAAAAATTTACTTCGGCTCATGGTTCCAGAGTGATGGAGTCCAACACAGTGGGGAAGGCTTAGCACAGCGACAGAAACCAGAATCCGGCTGGTCACATTTTCACCCTCACACAGGAAGCAGAGAAGGGGGTCAGGAAGTCCAGGTTATAAATTCTCAAAGCCCGCCCCCAATGACACACTTCCTCTAGCAAGATTCAATATCCTAAATGTTCCATAATCTCCTCAAACAGTGATACTAGCTGGGGACCAAGTGTTCAGACACGTGTGTCTGTGGTGGGTGCCTCTCATTCAAATCATCACAGGTACAAATGCATAGAAAACTGGGGAATTTGGTGACCACTCTTAGAAAGCATCCGGGTTCCTTTCTTGATCTCCTCCCTTCCTTCCCTGAAGACATCTTTAATCTTCTCATCCCTCTCTGACTTACCTGAGCTCTGAACCCCTGACATTGCCTGTGTGGGACCACCTCACCTTCTGATTGCTTGTTGTCTTTTCTATCCACAGCTGAGTACCTTTCCCCCTGGGTTCTGATCTTCTTGACAACAGTAATTTTTATTTCTTCCTTTTTCCCAAATGGCATTTGATATTGTGCTGGGCATCAAGAAGAGCTGGATAAATAATTAATTCTATTCTGAGACCTTCTGCCTTCTCTTCCCATGATGCACGGTTCCAGAGGCTTAGAGTCCTGTGAGGACCAAGCTCCAGGACTTTTTCTTTCTGATGCTCTTCCCCATGGTGTGTGGGATGTGCCATCTGTCTGCTGGGAACCGACACACCAGGGTATTTATATCCAAGCCTGCTACTGTGGTGGCCCAGAGGCTGTCATCTGAGCCTGCAGCCACCAGAGGAAGGCAACTGGGCAGATGTGGAGGCCAGGAGGACTTATTCGATTGCTGGGTGTGAAATGAAAACACATTAGACTCAAGATGAAATTTAGTACCTGACTCACTGGGAGATTTGAAGCAAATTACATGGCAAGCCCCTGTGGTAGGTTATATATCCTGAGATTCATGTGTATGTGTGTGTGTATATGTATGGGTATGTATATGTGTGTGCACTCACCCATGCAGGTGAGTGAGGAGGCCAGAGGCTGATATCAAGATGTCTTTCTAAATCACTCTCCACTTTTTTTTTTTTTTTTTTTTTAAATGAAACAGCCTTGGCTCACTGACCAGTGAGATCTAGGGCTCTGTCTGTACCCTCCCTCCAGTTCTGGGCTTAGAGGTGTGTGACACCACATCTGCTTTTTAATGTGAGTGCTGGGGATCCAAACTCAAGTCCTCAAGCGTAGGCAGCAACAAGTGCTTTATCCACGGAGCCATTTCCTCGATTTCTTTCTCTCAGTTGAGATTAATTGAGAACATGTGAGGGCAGGCACAGGCACAGAGTGAAGAATCTCGGGGTGGAACAGCATCTCACCACCCAGCCGGCCTCCTGCTTCACCCCTGCCCATCCATGAGTCAGTTGTCTAACTAAGATGTCCTGTCACCGAATCACATCAGGTGTTGTCACTTTGCTGAATTCTCAGCGGTTTCCTTCACACTTGAATCCCACGTTTACTGCTAATGGCTGACAGGGCCCCTGTCACCAGGCTCTGTGGCCTCTGATACAATCTCCTACCTTCTCCATTCCATCCAGGCCCCCTTCAACTGTTCCCCCCAACAGGGCCCATGCAGCCACTCTTACCCGAGGGCTTACTCCCTAGGTG